GGGCTATTAGATAACGTCACATTTGCAAGTACACTGGAATTATTCTTGCAAAGTGATTGGACTTACATTGGACAGGAGAGTTGAAAACAGGCTGCACTTGACTGAAACACAATCAGAAAAATGATTAATATCATCAAACACGTTGAAATACTGAAATTGAATTGATGATCAGAACTTACTTCTGTTCTTCCTCTTGGATCCTTATGTCCTCCACAATAGTGTTTTGTGGCTGGGGTTCAGACTGTTGGATCAGGTTTTCCTGGCTGACAATGACCTGCTCTTCTCCAGATCTCTGGCTGGATTTCTTGCAACATTTGAGGCATGAAAACAACCGGCGGAAGGTGCTTTTGGCTGCAAGGGTAAAGATTAGCTTCAGTTTAGTCAACACTGGTCTAGTGTTGTACTGCAGGTGACATGACAATAAACTCATTTCAGCCTGATATCTACCTTTTTGGGCTGTTTGTTGTGTTATGTTGGCTTTAGGCTTGGAAGCTCCGGCAGCAGGTTTCGACTCTCGAGTGCCCCAGGACACGTTGTTCATGTTAACCATGGAGTAGATGGTGAGAAGGAGGTAGGCGCTGGGGATACAGAGGATGTAGAGAAAGCCGTGGAACACTAGCTGGATTTCCTGAGGATGCATTATGGCAGTGATGGTGTAAATCATGGCCATAGAGAGGACAAAAATGCTGCTGGGCGTCAGGATGGTTCTGTCCTTCACCATTGAGCCTGAAAAAAGACATAAACATGGAGAGTTTTTAGCATTAAAGCAGCTTTGAGCAGCTCTTCTAAAAAGAGTTTACCAAGCGCAAATTAAGTAACACACATGTCTGAATAAAGTGATACCTGTTTGAATATAACGTACCAATAATGGACATCGACACCACCAACATGAGGAATGCATATATGACACTCAAGATTGCTGCAATTGTGATCTGAGTATCTGCCTTGAGTTTGAAGCAAAGACCCAGGTAGATGACAGGAGGTATCACAGCCAGGACCAGGGCAGCACTGCCATTCATGTTTAAGACGAAGGACAAACTACCTGGAGATCACAACAGAGGAGGCACATACACAGGACTGAGTGTTACTACATTGGTAGGACAATCATAAGTCCAGTTGATCTCAAAACATTGTATGTGCGATTATACTCTGAAACACAAAACACCCACCTGCAATCAAAAGGCAAATGGTGGCGGGGGCCAGGATGGCTGATGTGATGGTAAACAACTGGTACAACATGAAGGGTTTCGAAATTGAATTGTTTCTTTTGGAAATAATATTGGTAGAGCCCAGCAGATCTACCACATTGGCCATTGTGGACGGTCCCCATCGCCGACGCTGAAGATGGCAAAGAATCTTTATTATGACTGATATGGTTTTATGACTTGTAAGCAATAAGGTCCACATTCAAAGATGATTCTAAAATGCAGATTCTGAATATTCCAAGCAACAGCAGCTTGTCAAATCTTTGTGAGTATGTCAAGGCCATCATAATATTAGCGGAAAGGGTCTGATCTGCTGCAGCACTCACCTGGTTGTAGAGTTCTTTGAAGTCCTCTGGGGCATTGGTGTAAGCATCAGAGGCTGCGTTGTATTCCACTCTCCATCCCTGCTTCAACAGCAGAGTGCACAGCCAGCGGTCCTCACCTGCAGGGAACATAAAATGTATATGTGACAGGAGGAGGACGGAGGGACCGATTGGGAGCGCTATCACCAAGACTTAATGTTGCTGTTACCTTGGTCGTACTGGATGTAGTGGCTCGCCTCCATGGACTTGGTGGAGTATCTCTTCATCACGTTGTCGTCCATCAGCGCCTCTGCTCTGAACAGACTGAAGCAGCCGGGGCTGCACAGCACGCAGCCGATCACGTGCTCCGCCGTCTTCTGCAGCCAGTGACTGATAGCGTACTCGAACTTCTGGAACCACACTGCAGGACCTGTAGAGGAAACAACAGGTATTGTAAACCTCAACACAAATATCTGTCCAGTGCTGTCAATGGTTGATCTTAGAGTGATCTGTTCATATGATTGGACAGTTGTTTAATGTTGCATTTTGTTTGTTTTTTCCATTTACTCAATTGGACAATATGCCAACCTGATCCAGTGGGATGAATCCGGCCACATGCTGCACCAACACGTGGGTACATTCTCAGACGATCAATGAGCAGCATCACAGCAGCTGGCTGGAAGTCTGTGTCCCCATCTAAAGCCAGGAGGTAGGTGTTGTGCTTCTCTCTCTGGCGAAACAGACAGACACAGTTTGATTTGTTTTACATTTAGGTTTTATTTTAAAATACTGTGGATATGGGTTCAGGCTCATCAAAAGAATCCACATTAATATGTTTCTCTTATGTCACCTGGAGGTCAGCTTTCAGCTCTTTTTCGTCATCTCCCTTCTGCCAGCGTGCGAAATATTTGGTCATGAGTTTCCAGCCCAGAAGATAGTAAAGATACATGACCTGGGGAATAAGAAATAACAAAATTGATATTTCTCGGGCTTCAAGTGTTCAAGCGTTGTTGAGTTTAAAATAGACAAATGAAAAGTCTTAGAACATTATGAAAACCCCACATTCTAAATATAAAGTTAAATGTGACACATATAATTATATCTTCTGGGGTCTAAAAGTAATTATTTTCCTACCTGAGACCATCTCTTCTTGTGTCGAATGAGTTCTTTGTCCTTGAAGTGAACCACAATATTGTTCCCATGAGGCATGATGACCACAAGTCGACCTCCGTACGGTGTATTTATGACCTTCTGATCAGGGATCTGCTGCTGCTTCTTAAAGAACTTCTCATCAATGTTTGTGAAGATGCTGTTGACATAAAATGAGAGAATCCTTTGATAGTTGCTTGTACTTCCTGAAGGTGGTGTGCCAAATGCTACTGTCAGGTCAGAACTGGACACTTAACACTTAAATGCCTGATTCTTACCCATAAACTTCTGTTAGGATTTCCACAAGGTTCTTTGCAAAGTTGTTGAGGTGGGGCCTCTGACTGCCCTCGACATGTTTGAATGCATCATCAAAGTAGATATGGGCTTCGAAGGTGAAATCGTTGAACTTTGGGTCGTTCTTTGGTCTGTACTTGTCCAGTCTGCAGTGTTCAGAGAAACACAAAGAGGAACTGTGATAAAGTACATTTTGGGGATAACATACTGCTAAACTGGACACAAACTGTTGGAAAATAAAATCATGTGACAGTAACAAACTTAACTGACCAGATGGTTGATGATAATAACTCCTGTTTTTGCACTCAAATTAAGCAACTATTTCTACTACTGGTTTCAACTGAATTGAAAGGCTCAAATTATCTTGGCTGTTTAAGCAAGAATCTGATTTATTCTATCTGTAGCTGTCTTTATGTTCAGAGATAAATTAGAGGAATGGGTTTGTGTAACTCACCTAAATATTGAGATAATGATGTTCAACATCTCATCGTAGGTCTCGTGCCACATGGTCGCGCACAGGTACACCATCGCTGTTTCAAATGTCCTAAATCTTGACATGACAAGATTTTGCAAATGGGAGTAACATTTTTTAAACAGTTTGCAAAAGAAACAGTATTGACAGCCTAAAATAACCAGCCTAAAAACCCAAGACACACCTTGAAGAATGAACAATCTTGCTTTAGATGATTCTTTGAGGACGAAATAGAGGAAGATTCCTACACATACACTTACTTCTTAATTTTGTCTTTTGTCTGGATTTCGAATCTGGTGTTGAGGAGCAGCGACTGCTCAATAAAGGCTCCTTCATACAGCCTCCTGATGAACAGGTCTTGGGTCCTTTGGATACGATACATGTTGAGGTACCACAAATGGAGGGTTGCCAACACAAGGCCGATCCACCAGGACACTGCTGAACCTGATGGACAATTAACAAACACCAACTTTAGATACTGCAAAGTACCTACATCTCTACTTTATGATGAGGTTTTTCAGCGTATCCAGAAAAATGCAAGGTTAACTGGTAACACTAGTTATACTAGTTACATGGTAGTAGTTTTTGGTCATTTCCATGAGATCTTTCTTTAAAGAAATGGCTCCTTCACAGACCTGGGTATCATGACTGGCAGGTATGTAGAACAGTGTGGCCCTGAGAACATTCATACTCTATAGCTATTATAACTTTGTGTTTTAGTCTGGTGACTCTATTTTGAAAAAAAAACACATACCTAAGGTAAATTATTTTCCATCTGTGTATGGTATATATCTTGTGTCAAATAGCATTGTAACCTATTTTATTACCTGTCAGCATGCCAATGTCAGTTATCTTGGACATGTCCAGGAAGCACAGAGTGTGTGTAACATCCAGAACCAGATGTGGGAACACACTGCCGTTCAAGCTTTGGTTTCTTCCATCCACAACTACATTGCAGTAGCCTGTGAAGTTGATGCTTTCAGTCCCGTTCAGACTTATTCTGTAGTCCTGATAGTAAACGATAACAGGGATGATGAGCAGAGCCATGACAGCCAGAGAGGCCAGGTACAAAGGCAGGATGAAGCACCGTCGCAGGGCGTGCATCTTGCAGGCGGCCACAGCAAACCAGTGGCAGAGTGCAGAGGAGACCAGCTGGACCCCAATGATGATGGCTATAATTCTTGTCTCACGCCTCGGGATGGAGGTCACTATGTCCCAGTCCATTTTGGCCAGAGGGACGTAGGCTCCGAGCACACAGGCGGTCACCACGATCCTGAGCAGGCTTGAGAGGATGTGCAGCATGTTTTGGCTCCTTCTCACATCTTTACACAACTCTTTGAGAAAGACAGAGCTGCTGTTCTCGCTGATGAGTCTCAAGTAGTTCTCCCACCAATTGAAAGACACCAAGAAAGCCCCACCAACAGCCAGACCCACCCAAATGCCCCTCTTGATACCAGTAGGATCCTTCATAATGTATAAGACGAGGAACAGGACGTAACCGAGCAAAATCAGGATAAAGGCAGTGATGGATGGCGCCAGGAAGCGGTTCCTTTCTTTGGCAGTGCACTGAGTGACCACCTGTAGGAGCGCAGAGAGGACGGCTACACCATTCAGTATCGTCACGTTGGTCACGATGTCCAAGTGTGGCATTGCTACGATTGTGAGAATCGCTGCACCCAGAGACACGATGAACTCAAAGAACAGAACCTGCAGAAGAGAAGTAGAACATTTATAATACATTGAACACAAATCTCTCACCATCTTATGAGAGATTTCCTCTTCAAGCATCAGTTCAGCTTTACAAGTATCAGGGGATTGTTGCAACACAAACCTTTGCTCTTAGCTAGGGAGCTCGTAGGACATTGGGAGGTGTATTTACACTACTACTATAGGAGCTAGCATAGGTGAAGAACAACACATTCCAGTTTTCTACCAGTGACAAGATTTTCATAGAAGAGTTCCTGGTAAGTGTACTGAAAGTGAAGAGGCCTTTTAGAATTCAGCATTTAACTAAAAATATATTTTAAAGATAATATTTCAGGTAACTGTGCCTTATATGCCCATGTCTGACTCTTGGTATTGGTTGGCCCACCATATCAAATTAGGTTTAGCTTGATGAGTTCGAAAACATTTTCTATGACATATAGAAGATTTTAGAATTAGTGAAAATAGAGCAGCGACAGTCACTGGCATAAACATTCTTCAAGGTATCAATCAAAAAGGTGAGAGTTAAGAAATCTTATTAGGTTTCTCACCAAAGCCATCGTTGTTTTGACCGGCACCTTTGAGGATTTATAACACGCCTTCCAGATGCTCTTTTGCAAGAGAAGCACACTGGACGCGATGAGAGAGCAGCCGATACACAGCAGAGCGACAGGTTTCTGCTCAGCCGGGAGGGTCTTGGTGCCTTCATTGGACAAGGTGATGAGGAGGAGGAACGAAGCCTGGAACAGAGAACAAAGTTGAGGCAAGACAGGAAGATAAAAGTGCTTCACAGAATGAGAAAGGGAGGGAAACTTTGTCCTCAATACCTCTTAAAGATTTCAGATGTTATATTTGAGTTAACTCAGTTAACTTTTACCACTTTACTTACTTTATATACTTTGATATACCTGGATGAATACTGCTGACTAGTCTTGTTTTTAAACATACTGTAAAATTATATTTACTGTTTGTTCAACTGTTTGTTGTTTGTTGTTCTTCCTGTTAATGGGCACTTTCATTATCCCTTATACAGCCCCTGTAAAAGTGGAAGTGCTCACCAGATATACATTCAATTGAAATTGTAGTTCCCATACAAGACTAGTGGTTGATTTTGGTAAGTGAAAATGTTTTTTGACACAGTATAGGTCGATGTATGTATATAGAAACAAACCTTGCTACATAGAGCCAATCCAAACACAGTCACAGCAACTACACAGAGACTGATAGCCTTCAGTAGTTTGATCAGTTTCCATGGCGTCTGTTCATCTTCAATGACAGGGATCTCTCGGCAGGTGTCCCACGGCCTCCTGGTTAAAGACATCAAATGTCAAACTCTGATGGTGACTGCAGGTAGAAAATTATATTGGTGGGACATAGAGAGAGAGAGAGAGAGATCTGCAAGAAGGCAGGAAGGAAAGGAGGTTGATAGGAAGGTTGTTAGTAAAGTAGGACGTGGAGAGAAGTGGTGGCATGTTTCTAGGAAAATAACTTGTTGGGTAAAGAGTTGGAGGATTGTAAATTGAATACGTATTAGATTACATATTGGCAGGTACAGTGAAAGGCAGGTGTGGATATATTAAACTGATAACATACATTTAGGTTTAAAAACAGGTAGAAAATAAACAAAATGTACACAAATGTTTAGCTTTATACATATTTATCATGAATAAAACAACTTTAAACAAATCCAATACAACAAAATGATGTCTAGATCTATAGAAGCTTACAGAATACATCACAGCATAAGGAAACAATGAGTACGTTGCTTTTTTTTAAAAATAAGTGTGTAAAAATGTATTATAGATGCTATAGAAAATGACTGAATTGTTACTCTGACACAGTGTCAACATAAATTGAACATTATAAGCCTCACAAAGGTACTGTAGCTGGACTGAATCAGGTAGAAATTAACAGGTGCTCATATATTTGTAAATCTTGTAAACAATTTTATCAAAACCAGAAGATCTTCAGCTAAAAAACACAAATCTTCTTGAATTGATTTGAACACTTTAAAAGAAAGAACAACTGAATAATACATACAAATAATAACAATCTATTTTCTTGTTTTTCAAGAAAGCTTTTCTTCCGATAAAGCAATCAATTTATAAAAATATCCCATCCCTGCATGATTGATAATAATCTTCCTTTGATTATTACCTAATAAATAAATGATTTATATTAATAATAACAGCTATATAAAATAAAATAATAGAGATGCATCAGTTGTTCAGTTAAAAAGATTCCACTCACTTGGGCAAGCTCCTGTCTTCCTCCATGTTTCTGACTGATGTGAGCAGTCTGATTGATTGTTGGTTTGTAAATAACGATGTATTCAGATTCCATCGTCATGACAGTCACAGTCTCATTCAGCCCTTCATTAAATGGCAACACCCAGAACAGGGTCAAAGTGACTCACATTTTATACTTTCATTTCTTTTCAAAATGTAATTTACAATTTCATATTTTAATTATTTTCAAAGTTTGTTTTAAGGTCCAGTTTAGGTTCGGATCAGATCAGAACTCCCTCGTTTCATCCTCCCCTAGCAAACATATAGGAGAAACTACGGTGGTCGTGAAAACTTTTTTGTTTCTACTGTAGAAACATGGTGATTAGATATGTAGATTTAAAAGGATATAAAAACATAACTATTCCTTTATTCCGGTGATAATAAACTAATTAAAACCTACCTACCTATGAATATTATATTCAATTTCTTACTGCCAATAGATTCTCTTAAATATTAAACACTGGACCTTTACATTTTAACTGAACTGTGAACACTCTGGTCTCAAAGGTTAACAAGGAAATGAAAGTGCTCTTGTGGTTTTTACCATGCTGATTAGTCATGTTCGTCAGTGATTAACATTCCTCGCTGTATTATTCAAAGGCATCTTCCTGTGTTTCACGTCAATTATTTCATTGTGAAACATATTTCACACATTATACAACCGTCACATTGTATACGAAAACATTACATGTGATGGTCTTTCCAAAACTACAAACATAATAACTGCATAACAGTATCTCATCAGATGGAGTAAGTGTCATTAATTCATTATTATTTGTATTTCATTCCCAGTGGACCTATTTTTGTAGCATATACATGTAATGGCATATTTTTTTCTACTATAAAAAGATCACTTAGTCTTTTATTGTCTCGTCTGGTTAATGTAATCATAGAAAACACACAGGATATTGGACTTTAAGCTTTCAAACATGCTGCAATTCACAAGATGTGGCTGGAATCTATACAAAAAAACAAAACAAATAAGTGTAACTTGGGGATTTAAATAAAAAACCAACAATGTCACATGTACTGTAATATTTAATTTGTTAAATGTTACGTGTGATAAATTCAAAGGGACATGGTGTTTATTCACACTTAAAATGAAATATTTCACTTGAGAAATCTCAAATTTCAAATGATGAATTTCGCATAAATATCAATTATTTTATAAAGAGTCTCAGTCTTGGATCCTCCAAAGGACATAGCACATGGAGGTGTGAGGTTGGCCTCAATTGGTCAATCAAACAAAACAGGACAGTTTGAGGACTGTATGACCAAACTGTGCAATTAAAAGTATCCATTGCAGCACTGTGACACAGTTGAGCCCTGGTCTGCTTTAAAGCCCACACTGAATCAAGCTCTTATAACCTGTAGGAGCTATTTTTGACTATAAGGTTGAATAAAATATAAATGAATTATCTCTCTTTGTTTGCACCATGCACACTTGCACAGATATGATTTACATATCGATGTTGTGCGTGTAAATCTGTTTTTATTAGATGGTGAATTTTGCTGCACTACAGAAAAGTGCAGCAAAAATGGGAACACACCCAGATATGTACTTCTTCTACTGTTAAATATCATTTAAAAGATGCTTTGGGGATTGCGGACAGACCTGAACTTCAGGCTGTGATTTTGTCACACAGACACAATGAACCCACAGATCTGCTGAATCATGAAATGAAATCTTGATTTTGTAAAAACAATATCTGATAACTTCAATATCAATGCAAGTTAAGAACTTCCTAATTGGATAATAATAATATCAAGAATAATAATAGCTTTTGTTTAAATTACATTTCACACACCTTGTCTGTGGTTCTCAGTCTACTACTCAATATCTTTAAAAACAGGCCACAAATACATACTTTTAGATTTACTTATAGACAAACAGACACATTTTAATCCAACAGCGCAACCCCGGACTCTGTCCTGATTGCATTTGGTTACTTCTCGCTTGACCTCTGACATTAGGGACGGATCCACTTGAAGAGGCGGGGGAGGTGACAGTACCACTTCCTACATTATCAATCTGTACTTAGTTTGTTGGGTTTTCCAGTGTGAACAGACATATTGTTACAATTTCTGTATTAGTTGCAGTTGGGAGTGTTTCTCTGCATATTCATTAAGGTCAGTGTTTGGTCGATTCCTCCATCTGTCTGAGGTTGTTGTTGCTGGGACAAAAATTAAACTAATACCCTCAATGGCCACGTTCACACAGCAAGCCTTCGCTCTCAATTCAGGTTTACAATTCAGGTATACACAAAACAAAAGCTTTAAATACTCTCTCTCTGACACACAGACTTCTTTTCGTTTAAACTCACGACCCGAGGCCCTTTCTGTTTGTTTGAATAGAAGGTGTGTTAATGTATCAGTGCAGGTTTCAAGCATGAGTGGGTGTCAGTCTTGTGCATATGACTGTCATTGTGCAATCTAATTATTATTAATCTTATGTGCTGTTGCTGCTCTCTAGTGACATGCAGGTGTAAGAGATTGCAAAATATGTGTGTGTATCGTGAAGTTCAGTTCTTCAGCTCCACTATATGTATACACACAGCTACCAGCTCTAAAATATGCCTGGCCACTCCAATCTGGCATCAAATGATGTCAAATTGAAGACTAATTTAGATTTAGATATAAAAAATATATATATATTAGCATTTCCAAAAAAAAGATTTGGAAATAAAACAACTGAATGATGTATAATTCCACCTTTAGATATTTATATTCAATGCTTTAAGGTGTATGTGTGCCACAGTAATGTTTTTGACTTAAAATATCTTAATTTGGGAGCTTTTCCAAGCAAATATTGATGAATGTGATTGTTTGCTATTAAATCAGCATATATTTCTGCCACCACTTACAGTTTCCATGCCACCCCTTGAATATTTCTCTAGCTCCGCTGCTGGTGTACTCAAGAATAAATGTCATAAAATGAAAGCAAATGTACCAAAAATGTCGAGCTGAATGCAGCAGGCAATGTTCAAAATGATCTAATCTTCCCCCTCACACACATATATTTACACATACATAGGTTATTCATACTCTTATACATTTATTAAGTAATGAGGCTGTTGTGAGCTCAGTTTCACCAAAAAATCCACATATGTGTGTTTCTGTTCTGTGACGACCTGTCATATTTATTCATAACTTCGTCATGCTGAACCAAAAATCTACTTCTATATATAATCCATCATAAATCTACAATGCAACGATATCATGTTTTTATTTTCAAATAGTCCTGCATTACATTACAACAGTAGAGCATCCATGTTTGAAGCTTTGAGAGGCAGACAAATTAAAATGAAGTTTTTGGCCAGTTTGTATATTCTGTCCATCTAATCCACTTTTGTTTCGTTGTATTGCACCAATATTTAAAATAAAAATGGTAATTCCCTACAGCCATGTATAACATAACACAACATGTATTAGCTATGTACCCTGAATGCTATAAACTTAGGGGTGCTTGTGTTTTTAATGAACTGTTATCTGATAACAGAAGGTTTTTGCATACATTATAAAGTCATTACAAACCACACAAACCTGTAAGCCACGGAAACCTCAACAAGTAAACTAAGGACCAACTGAGGCGTTGTCTCATAAAAAGATTCTTGAGCAACCGTAAGTGGGTGGCATTGTGACCTTTATAATTATTTAATGATTCACTTAATTTGTATTTGTTGTCACATGCATGTAAATCTCTGGAGAAGTTCCAAAATGTGGGTTTGTGTGCAAATCCCTTAACTGAAGGTGTAAGTCATAAAACATCCCACGCCCTCAGAAAACACGGCGTACATGACGCTTACATAACCTTTAAGACAAAAGGGGAGATAATTTTATAAGAGCACACTCACACACTCACACGCACACACACACACTCACACACACACGCACAGTACAGAGGGAGGGACTTAGGTACAATACGGGACTCTGAATGCCGACCATGGCACTGATGATAAGTCAAGTGACATTATAGTTTTATTATTATTATTATTATTATTATAACTCCATTATACGGACAAAAATCCACCAGTTTGCAAGAACTACTAACATTAACAACTACGAACTACTTCCAGTTCAAGTCTAAAGTCTCAAGTTCAGTGAAGTTCATTCTTGGACTCGGAAACAGTAGTTGATATAAAAAAACAAGATCTATTAAGAAGCTGTTCCTGAATTTTCAGTGGTGTTTTCTCTGATTAACAGTCATTTCCCTTCATTTTTTTATTTCATAAATGCTCGACAAACTTTGTTTTTTGGTTTTCTTGTTGATTAGATTAAACATTTCAAGCCGAAAACAAGAAAACACTTTCTTCTTTTTATTTTTACCTGTGTGTTGAATCACCACCAGATGGCAGTGATCAATTAACACTGTTCCACTCTGCTCTACGCTGCCCACAAACTGGCATTCTGATTAGTGTGCAGGTGATTATTAAAGTATGGTGTCAGTGAGTTTTGTGTGTTTTAGATGCACATGCATTCAATTTCCCATCGTTGAAATTGAACTGGATTGAATTCTTAGTGTTTGACAGAGTAGAACATCCAAACAATGTGGGCATGACAGTTCAAACAGAGCAACAACAGATTCAAGAAGCTTTCAGCTCTAACGGCAAGGTTGCTTCATAGTATTACTCCTTTCAGACACACGTGGTCAGGAGTTAGAGTTAGGTGTAGGAAAAGAAGAGAACAGGAAAATCAGATATTTCAGCTTGTTTATTGCAAAAAAAAAATGCTGATTAAACTGAAGAATTTGTTTTCTGTTATTCGTACGCAGGTCCCCTACCCCCATCCCTCGACCCTCATCCCTTCATCCCTCAACCCTCCATCCCTCAACCCTCGACCCTTTATCCCTCCACCCTCATCCCCTCATCCCTCAACATTCATCCCTCGACCCTTCATCCCTCAACATTCATCCCTCGACCCTTGACCCTTCATCCCTCAACATTCATCCCTTCATCCCTTCATCCCTCAACCCTTCATCCCTCGACCCTCAACCCTCGACCCTTGACCCTTTATCCCTTTATTCCTCAACTCTCATCCTTTCATCCCTCAACATTCATCCCTCGACCCTCGACCCTTCATCCCTCAATCCTTTCCCGATCCATTCACCTACAGTACACCACGACAGTTTACATTTATTCATTATCATACGTTCATTGCCGTGGTCTTTGTTAGTGAAAGGCAGGTAATGATGATTTCTGTCTGGCTGAACCACCTTGGCTAGTTTGTAACTTAATCATGCTGGCTGAGCTGGATCAGGTCCAGTGACACCTGGGAGGAAATGCTGGTGCTGGTAACAGAGCTTATCCTGGATCCAACAAAACATCCAGGCCAGAGTGGAATGCGGAAAGGAGTGTTAAATTTCTGTGATCTGTTTTTCCCCTTAAAAAGCTTTTCCTGGCAAGCATTTTATGTGTCTTAGCAGAAAAAACACAGAAGTAACATTAGTGAAGACTTTGTCCTATGTAGGTGTGCTAGTTAGCAGCATGCACAATGCCAGTAAATCTGCATTTGACAAAACAAAATTCCCACAAATCCAAACAATATTACATGATTATGATGAAATAAGCTTATACAGCAGTGGGTTTGTGTTTCCCTCTGAACTGGAACCACCTGCTGAAAGATCAACAGGATGAGGCACACAATCGGCAGATCACAAAATAACAACTCCAAACAAATAAGAAAATCAACTGAATATCTAATTTAAACTCCCATGCTTCTATTTGAAGTGTTTCTGGAAGATAGTCAGATTTTAGATAACCAACCAACCTTTTTATGTGAAGATGAAACAGTATTATTATCATCACTATCTTGTCGCTGCTGTTTGCATTCCCACAAATGCAAATTCAGAAAAAGCATTATTTTCTGGGTGTATAAAAGTATGTATATAGGTATAAATAAATGTTTTACGTTATTCTACTATAAATTTAATTCTATTTTTGGATGCATGCAGCATGAACTGCAAACTTTTTTCCCCCAAGTTTATGTTTTATTTGATATTCAAAATGAATACAGACGTATTTATTCACTCACTGAAACTGCACATGCAATAAAATGAAATGTATCAAACATTGTAATTATGTGCTGCGTGTCTTTCTGAATTATGACTGCACAACTATGTGTATATTCATGCATATAGCCATTTACACCTACGAGTACAGGAGCTCAACCTGTACTCTTGCATAAATGTTTGTCCTTGCTGTTGCTTTTTTTTTTTTAATAATTAAAGCTAATGGTCACCCTGATGCGGCTGAACTTGAAGGGTGCAGGTAGATTTCTCCTCTTATTCCAGTCAACGCTAAGATGATCTGATAAAACACATCAAAGAGGCCGTAGTTTAAAAGATACAGGATACAGTAGACTAAGTGGAAACATTCTTATATATTTAATTTACAGTTTCAGATGTGTTAAGTCCCCCTTTTGAGAAAAAACAAAACATAAGCGTGACAAGAAATTGCCAAGTCGTAAATAATTGTGACAGTTAAAGTAATTTATTTTTCAAGGCAAACATTCATAAAGGTGTGGGGAGGATTGGATAAGGAGGTTGTGTCAAATAATGATGAAAATAATATAACAAAACTAATTGAACTACTGCTACTGAACAAAACACAAAGAAAAAGACTCCAAAACATACAAGGGTGGCACCAACCACCAACCCTAGTGTCTCATGTAGCATGGTGATATTACTTAAATGAGTGGTGCTTTTGTGTGCAACTGCCAAGTCACCTAAAAATATTCATATCTAAAGACGTATTTAAAAACTTCATCAGAAAAAGCTTTATTGGGAAACAAGAACACAACACAAAACATAGAATTTTTTATTTTATTTTTATTTTTTATTATTACAAGCAATTGATTATAAGAGTAATACAAAGAATGTACAACTTTTCTTCTAATATCTTGTGATTTAAAGATACAATTCCAGAAAAAAGGTTAAAAAAGGGTCACCTTGTGCATGTGCATATAAATACACTTGATAAAGACGTCCAGCAGTCACAGCAAAAACTATAATACGGTGTGTGCTGTCCTGATCAGTGCGGTGCAGTATTTCATTCTCTAAAAACAGCTTATCAACTAACCTGTTTGACATTTATCTTAAAAAATCCCAGATTTAAGACTTCCCTGATCTTTAGGATTCAGTTAATGATTCACCAAACCTCCGGCTGGATTTCTTCACCATTAAAAGAACTTCATGAGTTTTCTCTGTGACAGTAGATGCTTTTAAACTTCATTTATCCATCTTCACATTACAGTTGTGACATTACAGTAAACACAGAAGAAGGAAAGTCAAAGAAAACTAAGATTTACAGTTTAACTTAAGATCCTTCATTAATAGCCTTAACATTGTTAAAGTTACTGACCTGATATTACCCTCATTTGAACACAACAACAGTTTTTAGAGGTTGTGTTTTTCTGTCCCTGAGTTCCTTCAAAGCAAGATTCTTATAAATAAATTGCACTGAACTTAATGTAAACATAACATAAATAATCCACATAATAAAAATTTGTTTTCTTCAAATAACACATACAGTATGTTTCAAAGTGCTAAAAAGTGTTGGTTGTGGACGGTCTGTGTTTACACCATAGTCCCTCCATTATTGCTTCTGTGGTACAATGTCGTGGAAAGGCTAAACTCATCATCACTGTCCTCAGGGTCAGACTCAACCTGGAGGGTGGAAGTGGTGCTGGCTTGAGACACAGAGCGGATCTGGGAAGAGAGAGAGGGAACATCAGTGCACATAAATCCCACCACACCTGGAACACTGGCAGGTGACTGAACCAAACGGTCACTACTTGTTCTCATGTAACCACAGTAGCAGGAGGGCGCGGTTGATGTCAGTCTCTAATAGTTTCAGTAATTAAAGAAAAGTATTTGCAGGGCAATTTAATGTTATTTGCGTCTTAGCATGAGTAATTAGAGTGAGGTTGGTCCTACTCTTGTTGTTCTTTATGGAAATTGTTCATGTCTCATCTAGGGCATGATTATGAATGGTGGGTTTATCTGCTAAGATTGCTACTGGTGACATTGCACTGTGCGTTGATATGATTGTGAGGCCTAAGTTGAAAAACTGTGAATCTATCCATTACCGCTATGGCTTGTTTTACACAGAATCTCTTCATTAACAAACTGAATGGTACAGAAAAATACAAAGTTTTGTGTCATTTAGCACTATAAATAACAATAAACTAGTATCATTGCAAGTTGTTACGACAGTAATTGTAGAATAGTAGCAGTAGTAAAACAAGCAAAAATACACTACACTACAACACTAGTAGTAAAGTAGTAAAGTAATAGTGGTAAATACCTTTTTGTGTGAAGTGACGTTTAATTGTTCTTTTTCAGATTTCTGCTCTTTCGGCTCTGTTTCCAGAAAAGCTACATAATGTATCAAAGTGTAGATTCTAGATGAACATGAAAGAACAAGGAAGTTAGTTTTATGAAAAGGACAACGAATACATTAACATCAATAAAACCACATTTCTGTTGAGTCATTTGATGTTAAGTGGTCACCTGTGGTACAGCATGGCAACAAACTGGATCAAAACTGATATAGCAAATCCCAGAATGAACATGAAGCCAATGGGATCAATTTGTACGTCTTCTCCGGTGTACTCAAGTTCGAGGTTGACCTTGGGGAGCTTGATGGAGATGGAGGCCTCGGAAAGCTGGAGGGTAAATGTCGCCACCAGCCACAGGGCATTCATGATGAAGAAAGCGAAGTTTATCTGTGTGTAATTAGAAAAATCGGATTAATTTAAAATGAACTGCGCAGTGGTTTCCTGCTAAACATGAACAATAGTTCAGCTCCCTACACCTACCTTGTTTCTCAGGTCTCTCAGGTCACTGGTAATCTTTTTCTGTTTTTCTTTGTCATCTGACAGAGGTTGTAGATACTTGTCCTGAAGTTCTCTCCAGAAGTTCTCCTCCTCCTGCAGGGAAACCTTTTCAATTAATTATTCTGTAAATGTACTTCACATTGAAGCTATTATGTATACTTTTAGTGGTGTATTCCAAAATTCACCATCACTCTGTTCACTCAGTAAACCCCACAGGTAACACAATATTTGTGAAGTATACAACAAGTGTCCTATTTGTAATAATCATATATGAGGGTTAGTATTTATTGTTAGTAGTTAGGCATGTTGAGAAGCAGCAAATGGCAAAAAATAACTATTGCAAATGCCCCAATGTAATGTTAAGATCAGTTGTTGTGTGAGCATTATTTTGATGAACTAGAACAGGAATACACCCTGCTAACCTGATAAAACAAGACATACACACCTTGTCAAGTGAGTCCTCCTGCAGTTTCATGTCAGTGGACGCATTTTGTAGTTGTGTGATCCAACCTGGAGAAAGAAGCAAGACAGGGGGCTATTAGATAACGTCACATTTGCAAGTACACTGGAATTATTCTTGCAAAGTGATTGGACTTACATTGGACAGGAGAGTTGAAAACAGGCTGCACTTGACTGAAACACAATCAGAAAAATGATTAATATCATCAAACACGTTGAAATACTGAAATTGAATTGATGATCAGAACTTACTTCTGTTCTTCCTCTTGGATCCTTATGTCCTCCACAATAGTGTTTTGTGGCTGGGGTTCAGACTGTTGGATCAGGTTTTCCTGGCTGACAATGACCTGCTCTTCTCCAGATCTCTGGCTGGATTTCTTGCAACATTTGAGGCATGAAAACAACCGGCGGAAGGTGCTTTTGGCTGCAAGGGTAAAGATTAGCTTCAGTTTAGTCAACACTGGTCTAGTGTTGTACTGCAGGTGACATGACAATAAACTCATTTCAGCCTGATATCTACCTTTTTGGGCTGTTTGTTGTGTTATGTTGGCTTTAGGCTTGGAAGCTCCGGCAGCAGGTTTCGACTCTCGAGTGCCCCAGGACACGTTGTTCATGTTAACCATGGAGTAGATGGTGAGAAGGAGGTAGGCGCTGGGGATACAGAGGATGTAGAGAAAGCCGTGGAACACTAGCTGGATTTCCTGAGGATGCATTATGGCAGTGATGGTGTAAATCATGGCCATAGAGAGGACAAAAATGCTGCTGGGCGTCAGGATGGTTCTGTCCTTCACCATTGAGCCTGAAAAAAGACATAAACATGGAGAGTTTTTAGCATTAAAGCAGCTTTGAGCAGCTCTTCTAAAAAAGAGTTTACCAAGCGCAAATTAAGTAACACACATGTCTGAATAAAGTGATACCTGTTTGAATATAACGTACCAATAATGGACATCGACACCACCAACATGAGGAATGCATATATGACACTCAAGATTGCTGCAATTGTGATCTGAGTATCTGCCTTGAGTTTGAAGCAAAGACCCAGGTAGATGACAGGAGGTATCACAGCCAGGACCAGGGCAGCACTGCCATTCATGTTTAAGACGAAGGACAAACTACCTGGAGATCACAACAGAGGAGGCACATACACAGGACTGAGTGTTACTACATTGGTAGGACAATCATAAGTCCAGTTGATCTCAAAACATTGTATGTGCGATTATACTCTGAAACACAAAACACCCACCTGCAATCAAAAGGCAAATGGTGGCGGGGGGCCAGGATGGCTGATGTGATGGTAAACAACTGGTACAACATGAAGGGTTTTGAAATTGAATTGTTTCTTTTGGAAATAATATTGGTAGAGCCCAGCAGATCTACCACATTGGCCATTGTGGACGGTCCCCATCGCCGACGCTGAAGATGGCAAAGAATCTTTATTATGACTGATATGGTTTTATGACTTGTAAGCAATAAGGTCCACATTCAAAGATGATTCTAAAATGCAGATTCTGAATATTCCAAGCAACAGCAGCTTGTCAAATCTTTGTGAGTATGTCAAGGCCATCATAATATTAGCGGAAAGGGTCTGATCTGCTGCAGCACTCACCTGGTTGTAGAGTTCTTTGAAGTCCTCTGGGGCATTGGTGTAAGCATCAGAGGCTGCGTTGTATTCCACTCTCCATCCCTGCTTCAACAGCAGAGTGCACAGCCAGCGGTCCTCACCTGCAGGGAACATAAAATGTATATGTGACAGGAGGAGGACGGAGGGACCGATTGGGAGCGCTATCACCAAGACTTAATGTTGCTGTTACCTTGGTCGTACTGGATGTAGTGGCTCGCCTCCATGGACTTGGTGGAGTATCTCTTCATCACGTTGTCGTCCATCAGCGCCTCTGCTCTGAACAGACTGAAGCAGCCGGGGCTGCACAGCACGCAGCCGATCACGTGCTCCGCCGTCTTCTGCAGCCAGTGACTGATAGCGTACTCGAACTTCTGGAACCACACTGCAGGACCTGTAGAGGAAACAACAGGTATTGTAAACCTCAACACAAATATCTGTCCAGTGCTGTCAATGGTTGATCTTAGAGTGATCTGTTCATATGATTGGACAGTTGTTTAATGTTGCATTTTGTTTGTTTTTTCCATTTACTCAATTGGACAATATGCCAACCTGATCCAGTGGGATGAATCCGGCCACATGCTGCACCAACACGTGGGTACATTCTCAGACGATCAATGAGCAGCATCACAGCAGCTGGCTGGAAGTCTGTGTCCCCATCTAAAGCCAGGAGGTAGGTGTTGTGCTTCTCTCTCTGGCGAAACAGACAGACACAGTTTGATTTGTTTTACATTTAGGTTTTATTTTAAAATACTGTGGATATGGGTTCAGGCTCATCAAAAGAATCCACATTAATATGTTTCTCTTATGTCACCTGGAGGTCAGCTTTCAGCTCTTTTTCGTCATCTCCCTTCTGCCAGCGTGCGAAATATTTGGTCATGAGTTTCCAGCCCAGAAGATAGTAAAGATACATGACCTGGGGAATAAGAAATAACAAAATTGATATTTCTCGGGCTTCAAGTGTTCAAGCGTTGTTGAGTTTAAAATAGACAAATGAAAAGTCTTAGAACATTATGAAAACCCCACATTCTAAATATAAAGTTAAATGTGACACATATAATTATATCTTCTGGGGTCTAAAAGTAATTATTTTCCTACCTGAGACCATCTCTTCTTGTGTCGAATGAGTTCTTTGTCCTTGAAGTGAACCACAATATTGTTCCCATGAGGCATGATGACCACAAGTCGACCTCCGTACGGTGTATTTATGACCTTCTGATCAGGGATCTGCTGCTGCTTCTTAAAGAACTTCTCATCAATGTTTGTGAAGATGCTGTTGACATAAAATGAGAGAATCCTTTGATAGTTGCTTGTACTTCCTGAAGGTGGTGTGCCAAATGCTACTGTCAGGTCAGAACTGGACACTTAACACTTAAATGCCTGATTCTTACCCATAAACTTCTGTTAGGATTTCCACAAGGTTCTTTGCAAAGTTGTTGAGGTGGGGCCTCTGACTGCCCTCGACATGTTTGAATGCATCATCAAAGTAGATATGGGCTTCGAAGGTGAAATCGTTGAACTTTGGGTCGTTCTTTGGTCTGTACTTGTCCAGTCTGCAGTGTTCAGAGAAACACAAAGAGGAACTGTGATAAAGTACATTTTGGGGATAACATACTGCTAAACTGGACACAAACTGTTGGAAAATAAAATCATGTGACAGTAACAAACTTAACTGACCAGATGGTTGATGATAATAACTCCTGTTTTTGCACTCAAATTAAGCAACTATTTCTACTACTGGTTTCAACTGAATTGAAAGGCTCAAATTATCTTGGCTGTTTAAGCAAGAATCTGATTTATTCTATCTGTAGCTGTCTTTATGTTCAGAGATAAATTAGAGGAATGGGTTTGTGTAACTCACCTAAATATAGAGATAATGATGTTCAACATCTCATCGTAGGTCTCGTGCCACATGGTCGCGCACAGGTACACCATCGCTGTTTCAAATGTCCTAAATCTTGACATGACAAGATTTTGCAAATGGGAGTAACATTTTTTAAACAGTTTGCAAAAGAAACAGTGTTGACAGCCTAAAATAACCAGCCTAAAAACCCAAGACACACCTTGAAGAATGAACAATCTTGCTTTAGATGATTCTTTGAGGACGAAATAGAGGAAGATTCCTACACATACACTTACTTCTTAATTTTGTCTTTTGTCTGGATTTCGAATCTGGTGTTGAGGAGCAGCGACTGCTCAATAAAGGCTCCTTCATACAGCCTCCTGATGAACAGGTCTTGGGTCCTTTGGATACGATACATGTTGAGGTACCACAAATGGAGGGTTGCCAACACAAGGCCGATCCACCAGGACACTGCTGAACCTGATGGACAATTAACAAACACCAACTTTAGATACTGCAAAGTACCTACATCTCTACTTTATGATGAGGTTTTTCAGCGTATCCAGAAAAATGCAAGGTTAACTGGTAACACTAGTTATACTAGTTACATGGTAGTAGTTTTTGGTCATTTCCATGAGATCTTTCTTTAAAGAAATGGCTCCTTCACAGACCTGGGTATCATGACTGGCAGGTATGTAGAACAGTGTGGCCCTGAGAACATTCATACTCTATAGCTATTATAACTTTGTGTTTTAGTCTGGTGACTCTATTTTGAAAAAAAAACACATACCTAAGGTAAATTATTTTCCATGGTATATATCTTGTGTCAAATAGCATTGTAACCTATTTTATTACCTGTCAGCATGCCAATGTCAGTTATCTTGGACATGTCCAGGAAGCACAGAGTGTGTGTAACATCCAGAACCAGATGTGGGAACACACTGCCGTTCAAGCTTTGGTTTCTTCCATCCACAACTACATTGCAGTAGCCTGTGAAGTTGATGCTTTCAGTCCCGTTCAGACTTATTCTGTAGTCCTGATAGTAAACGATAACAGGGATGATGAGCAGAGCCATGACAGCCAGAGAGGCCAGGTACAAAGGCAGGATGAAGCACCGTCGCAGGGCGTGCATCTTGCAGGCGGCCACAGCAAACCAGTGGCAGAGTGCAGAGGAGACCAGCTGGACCCCAATGATGATGGCTATAATTCTTGTCTCACGCCTCGGGATGGAGGTCACTATGTCCCAGTCCATTTTGGCCAGAGGGACGTAGGCTCCGAGCACACAGGCGGTCACCACGATCCTGAGCAGGCTGGAGAGGATGTGCAGCATCGTTTGGCTCCTTCTCACATCTTTACACAACTCTTTGAGAAAGACAGAGCTGCTGTTTTCGCTGATGAGTCTCAAGTAGTTCTCCCACCAATTGAAAGACACCAAGAAAGCCCCACCAACAGCCAGACCAACCCAAATGCCCCTCTTGATACCAGTAGGATCCTTCATAATGTATAAGACGAGGAACAGGACGTAACCGAGCAAAATCAGGATAAAGGCAGTGATGGATGGCGCCAGGAAGCGGTTCCTTTCTTTGGCAGTGCACTGAGTGACCACCTGTAGGAGCGCAGAGAGGACGGCTACACCATTCAGTATCGTCACGTTGGTCACGATGTCCAAGTGTGGCATTGCTACGATTGTGAGAATCGCTGCACCCAGAGACACGATGAACTCAAAGAACAGAACCTGCAGAAGAGAAGTAGAACATTTATAATACATTGAACACAAATCTCTCACCATCTTATGAGAGATTTCCTCTTTAAGCATCAGTTCAGCTTTACAAGTATCAGGGGATTGTTGCAACACAAACCTTTGCTCTTAACACAGTGCTAGGGAGCTCGTAGGACATTGGGAGGTGTATTTACACTACTACTATAGGAGCTAGCATAGGAGAAGAACAACACATTCCAGTTTTCTACCAGTGACAAGATTTTCATAGAAGAGTTCCTGGTAAGTGTACTGAAAGTGAAGAGGCCTTTTAGAATTCAGCATTTAACTAAAAATATATTTTAAAGATAATATTTCAGGTAACTGTGCCTTATATGCCCAAGTCTGACTCTTGGTATTGGTTGGCCCACCATATCAAATTAGGTTTAGCTTGATGAGTTCGAAAACATTTTCTATGACATATAGAAGATTTTAGAATGAGTGAAAATAGAGCAGCGACAGTCACTGGCATAAACATTCTTCAAGGTATCAATCAAAAAGGTGGGAGAGTTAAGTAATCTTATTAGGTTTCTCACCAAAGCCATCGTTGTTTTGACCGGCACCTTTGAGGATTTATAACACGCCTTCCAGATGCTCTTTTGCAAGAGAAGCACACTGGACGCGATGAGAGAGCAGCCGATACACAGCAGAGCGACAGGTTTCTGCTCAGCCGGGAGGGTCTTGGTGCCTTCATTGGACAAGGTGATGAGGAGGAGGAACGAAGCCTGGAACAGAGAACAAAGTTGAGGCAAGACAGGAAGATAAAAGTGCTTCACAGAATGAGAAAGGGAGGGAAACTTTTTCCTCAATACCTCTTAAAGATTTCAGATGTTATATTTGAGTTAACTCAGTTAACTTTTACCACTTTACTTACTTTATATACTTTGATATACCTGGATGAATACTGCTGACTAGTCTTGTTTTTAAACATACTGTAAAATTATATTTACTGTTTGTTCAACTGTTTGTTGTTTGTTGTTCAACTGTTAATGGGCACTTTCATTATCCCTTATACAGCCCCTGTAAAAGTGGAAGTGCTCACCAGATATACATTCTATTGAAATTATAGTTCCCATGCAAGACCAGTGGATGATT